AAAAAAAAGAAAAACTAAGATTGATTTAATTAAGAAAGCCTTTATTTTCATAAGGCAACTGATCGAATCCTATACAAATTATTTAATGGTGGAAAGAATAACAAACCTGTTGCACAAACAGTTCCGCCTGAAAAATTTTACCTGCAGAAAGACTGGTAATAAGTAAAGAAAGACTACAGCATTTCATGCGCGCAGCTACCCTGAAAACCTTTAAAAAAATGTACGTATTACTGTCGGTAGTTTTCAAACAGAATAAGGCAAAATAGCGAGTTCTGTCAGATTTGAGAAACGAAAAAGATATGTGTAACTGTAATTAAAAACTGAAGGAAAAAGCCATCGAAAATTAATCACAGAAATAAATTGAATGAAGATACTTAGAATTCCTGTATAATACCTTTCAGGCGCGTACTATCAGCCTTGCTTGAGGAAGAAATTTTGAAAAAGCAGCCCATCCTGACTCCGTAAAACAACCAAAGTCAGCATTGCGGAAGCACCCGTACGCACATCTTTTCACCCTTTCAATCCAATGAGGTGGTAAATCAATTTGTACAGATTCTAAATCTGAAAAATAAGTGTAAAAAAATCCTACAATAAGTTGACAATAATCAAGAGCAAATGAAAAATAAACAACAAATCAACCCCATTAAAAATGATAAAGCAGAGCTTACTTAAAGCATCCGAGAGGTATAATAAGAACTCATTTTTGTACAAGACATGCGATGCAACTATCTCAACGCTTTTCAGATCTGAGTAAACATCAGCACCTCTACTAATGGACGGAAATACATTACCAACATCGTATTGTAAGCAAAGCTTTTCACAATTCTGAAAATCATTCAAAAAATATGAGTTGTACATGAATAAAAAACCCTTTTTATTTCTTAAAAGTTACGGATTCCAGTTAAAAAAGCTGAAACTTTAAGATATAACCTGTAAACTAACAAAGCGTAAAAACCACTTCTACCAAAAGCACTGATAAAAAAAAATGAAAACTGCACAAAAAAGGTCATTCGTGATTG